AAGGCTTTTTGTGTAAAAGATCAGAGAAGATTAAGAATATAACGAAATGACTTGAAATCATAACCTGAAGTCGAAAGATTTATTGCGACATCGTTGCTGTCATTTTGCTTTACAATTACATATGTAATGTTTTCCGTATAGAAGCATTAAGTTAAATGCGAATTGTTTCCATACAATTAAAGAGACTGTGAAAATTAGTAATTGGTGAAAGTTTTAGCTCTTTGGGTCTAATATTGAAGGAAATGTGGGCTTTCGGAAATTACAAAATTTCTCGGAAGAGAAAGCGTTAATAAGCTCATACATTCATAGGTCAATTAATCGTGTCTTTCCCTTTCAATACACTCTTTTTTTTACAGGAATATATTTGACAAGAATATCGAGGCTGAAATTTACGAGATTGTAAAAATATTTTTAAGAATAAACCCGAGGCTCAGATTTTGAGAAGAATATGGCTTTGCGTGTTGAAAATTTTAAATAGAATACAATTATATGTTTTTTACCAAACAGTATATATAAAATTCACTTTCTCTAAACGGCAAAACTACCAAAAAAACATATCTGCAAGAAGCTATGTGCGTCATTTTAGGCTGTAACGCTTGCAGCCTGGCTCCAAAATTACTTTAACACCATCCAGACACCAAATACATTCGAAACCAGAAATACGCTGTAATCTAAGAATATTCACACAAATATTTTCAGCCTAAAATCGGCCGAAAAATAAGAATATTCAGCCTCGGCTGTAAATAAATATTTTTATGAAAAAAGAGTGTATTCAGACTTGGTACTTTTGAGGCACTTAAGCTGATGAAGCAAATATTGTTAACCAAAATTGCAGTATAAAAAAGTGCAAAGTTACAATTTGCGTCCTCCTCGCTTCCCTAATGGAAACCAAATGCTCAGTAACTGTAGAATGATTGCCAGAATTTTGTTTGTCAAGAACTCATCACGAAGCAAGAACATGTGATGATGGCAACGAGTGAAATGGATTAAAATATGGACAAAGTTAAAACATTACGTAACAGTGGCAGTACACTATTTAGAACGAAATAATTATTCCGGAAATTTTAGTGAGGAATTTCCGTGCAGGAGGAACAAAGAAACGTTGAGTCTAGTTAAGGCTAATGCTGTGAAAACCAAAAGGATTGGAACTGCTGTAAACGATACAAAACTTTACATGGAATATGAATTTTGATTAGTAACGGCCAAACTGATAAATGGCACGACCCTTACAAAAGTAGTTTTTCTTAGTCCCGGAAATTTTCCAGTGGGCTGTACACAGAGAAAAAGTCATATCCATTTACGCATCGAAACCGAAATTTACTGAAAATGCTGTAAATGGTGGTTTCCTTGATTCAGTTTCCTAAATTTAATTTAACCGCTCCGCCTGTAAATGTAGAGAGATGGACTTGGGTGTGAATAAACGGGTTATAAACCCAACTTTTTGGCCCAAATGGTTTATCTGCAGATACGTTTTGGTGTACATCGGCGAGTTCGCGAAAGTTAATTAAGAAAAAAAACGTTTATATTATACTACTCTGCGCTCAAGTGGGCTTCTTGTATATCCCCTCCGAAGCTGTAATAAAGTGCGCGAAGGCCGGCTTTCGTATATGTTAATTCTGGTGATCGTTTTGGCGCCGAAGGCAAAGAATGTGACTCAAAACAGCTTTGTACTCTTGTCTGAACTGCTTATTTGTTCCCCCATATATGAAGGGCTTTATGGTGCTACTAAGGTAAATCAAGAACCCGTATGTAAGGTAAGCCTGTCGCGGAAAGGTGGATTTCCCTTGTGCGACATCGATGTAGTCCATGACAGAGATAGGAAGGCAACAACATGTAAAACCCACCATTATTGCTGCTAAAGTCTTGGTCACTTTCGCTCCTTTCACGTTCGCTCTGAGTTGCTGCAGTTTGTTTTGGAGCGAGAAAACTCGGTTTGATCGCGATACTGAGCAGAACACTTTGGCGTAGCAGATTTAAATTACCGTTAAGGGTGCTGCAATATAAACGAGCCCAAAAAACACAGCATAAGGAATGTTTCTTTAAAATGTGTACAAATACATCGCTTTACCCGGATGGAATTCAATGAAGAACGGAGGCACAGATCGAACGAGAGCTGCGCCCAAACAACAGCAATATACAGCAAAGCTCTTTGTTTTTTGAACAACACCGCGTACTTTTCCGGTTTGACAACGCAAAAATATCGACTAACTGCAATTAATCCCATAGTCTGAATAGAGGCAAATCCAAATGTCAATGCTCCGAAACCGACAAAACGACAAAAACTCTCCTCAAAAATCCAGCGGCCGCGAAACAGAGTTTCAACTGAAAATGGATATGAGAATATCGCTTACATTAAGTGCTATGACAAACATGTTGGGAAGCGTACGAAGTCTCTGGTTTCTGTACACGGCGTAACAAGTTAGAAGATTGCCAAAGAAGGCCATAATATTAATAACAGCAAACAATACTGTTTGAATCCAAACAACAGCGTCCACCGTCAGATCAAGCTCTTCAAAAAGCGATTTCTTCATGGCTTTTGACGAGCCACTTAAAGAAAATTTAAAGTTCAGATTTTTTGACCAGTATTAAACTTTTAATTTGTGAAGATGCTTTCGCTGTTGGAATTTAGAGGTATTACTGATTAGAAATTTAGCTTTCAATCTCAATTGAGCTCTAGATAATTCTACTTTTGGACCTGTCAAGCGTGGTGACGTAGCTAAGGGAGTTATTTTAACACTTGCCGAGCGATTTTACAAAGCGACAATTTTCCTGTTGATGTGGAATATTAGATATTGTTCATATTGCTAATTACAACAGTTAATATTTACAAGAAAACATAACGTACCAATACAATGAGATCTTGTTTGAAAAACTATCAAATTTCACCTTTTAATGACGAAAGTCAAGTTATGCTCAAAAAACCTTTCCGTGAAAAAAGGTTTCCCAGCAACGGCGGGCGTGCAACAATAGCTGACGGCGAAGTCGAAGTAGAAGAGCAGAAGCAGATCATAGAAAACTGAAGGGAAAAAAAGAAAGAACTGGAAGGAAAATATAGATTTAGCCAAGCCTAAAGCGGAGCTCCTGGCCCGGATATTTTAAAGCTCGATTAATAAAACCCAGAATAAGCGAGAATTTTGGTTTGAGTTTTGTAACTTTGCGGTGACGTTTTCTGTATATTGTTTGGCCATCTGTTTTTAGTTTGAATAATCTCAAACTATACCAAACAAAAGCAGTGAAAAACATTTGAATACAAGAAAAATTTATACTTTAGTTAACTTTTAATCCTGGATTAGTTTTAACCGGCTTCCAAACAACTATTTACTACAAGTTGACCTGATATGAACACGCGATCCAACCAAAAACTAACACTTGGTCAGCTGTCAACTTTAAAGAAACACGTGACCTCGATGAGCTCTAAACTTAAGCCCGCGATATGGTCACTTGATGCTGGTCAGCGGACCTTATTTTGACAGGTATCAATTGACGATAACGTTGATGTCCAATATCAAAGAAGTGCGCTATAAATCAAGGCTACATGTCTCTGTCAACCTATTAGTTGGAGTATGACCGCCATCTTGCTCGACTCCGCCGTCGTCGTCGTTGTCGTGCATACGCGCCCGCGAGCAATACCGCTAGCTAAGATAACCGTGAGAAAATCATTGCATGGGTTTCCTTTGCTTTCCTATAAGGGTATGGTGCTCCGCTTGGTGGCCCTTCGGGCCGCCGGAGCTCCGCTACGAATATATAGAGTTTCTAACTAACTTGTACAAAGAAAGAGCCTTTTTGTGGGATGTAGCCCATGAAAACTACGTAAGTAGAGAGAAAAAAAAGTGGCTTATTGTCAAATCGATGTAACATGCTAAATTCTTCTCCAGGCTTCCTCAGAAGTTAGTCTGTTTATTATGCGCATGTCTGATCCTTTGTTTTTTGAGACAATCTGTCCTCGTGCAGCAAACCAGGGCAACAAAACACTTTTGTTTTCTTCTCTCTAGTTTAGCCACTCTGGAAACAAAACAAGAAACAGTGTTTCGCAAACGAAGTTTTCTGATCTTTTCCAGTTTAGCCAGGACTGTATTGTATTGACTTAAGGAATGGACAGTTTTCAATTAAATGTCACTCTAGCCAATCACAAAGGACACAGACAATGCAATGTATCAATCAAAACTGTGTAGTGGAATCGTCTAGGGTAGCTGAAACAAGAGCAATTAATTTTCGCCATTCAAATGCAAACCGCGTTAATGCAACAGTCAAGATTTTTAATAATCAGCACATTAGTTATCCGAGGAACGCAAATATTGTGTGTTATATAGAAATGCATTTAAGTTGGATTTTCAAGTAATTTGTGTAACACGTGATTTTTTATTTTATTTCAGTTTAGGAAGCGTTTACACTTGTTACTTCTCAGAATCATTAACACTTCATCAGTTCCGAAGGCATTTTTCCTTCCTCATTCAGAAAGTCGTTTAAGATCTTGGACTGTGACATTCAATTGAACAAGGTTCAATTCTTTACTTTGAAAGATAATTTGTCTTGCCAGCTCTTGCACGGCGCTCTTGTTATCTTTACGTCGGATGCAAAGAATGTTACGCAGAATAACCTTGTACTCTCGTCTAAATTGCTTATTCGTGGCACCATATATTAAGGGGTTGATGGTACTACTCAAATAAGCCAAGAACGCGTATGTAAGGTACGCCTGTCTCGGCAAAGTGTGTTCCCCGCGCGCGGCGTCAATGTTATCCATGACAGAGACAGGAAGCCAACAACATGTAAAACCGACCATTACTGCTGCTAAAGTCTTGGTCACTTTTGCTTCTTCCACGTTCACTCTGAGTCGATGATGATTATTTTCATGTGAGAAAACTTTATTTGACTTAGATACTTTGTAGAACACTTTGGTGTAGCAAATTGTGATTATAGTTAAGGGTGCTGCGACGTAAACGCACTCTATAAAGACAGTATAAGCAATATTGCTTTCGAATGTGTACAAGCACATCGCTTTGCCCGGCTGAAACTCAAATCCGACGTTGTTGAAGAAAAATGGAGGAACAGATCCAGCGAAAGCCACGCACCAAACAACGGCAATATACAGCAAAGCTCTTTGTTTTTTGAACAACACCGCGTACTTTTCTGGTTTGACAACGCAGAAATATCGACTAACTGCAATTAATCCCATAGTCTGAAGAGAAGCCAGTCCAAACGTGAAAGCTCCAAAACCGTGAAATTGACAAAAAATCTCGCCAAATATCCACTGACCGTGGAACAGAGTTACAATTGAAAACGGCATACACCAGGTAGACATGAGAATATCGCTTACAACAAGTGCTATAACAAACATATTGGAAAGTGTGCGGAGGGTTTGGTTTCTGTACACGGCGTAACAAGTTAGAAGATTGCTCAAGAGGGCCACAACATTGATAACAGCGAACAAAACTGTTTCAGTCCAAACAAGAGCCTTGACTCTCGTGGCAAGCTCGACAGAAAGTATTTCCTCCATGCCGGTCTCAAACCGATCACAGAGCGGAAATTTCGAAGCTATAACATATCAGCTTAGGACGTCATCGGCTGAATATCAAGCCCTATTCTTTGTCATTTCACAAGATACTTGTAAAGCATCTGCGCTATTGTAGTGTAAAAGTATTGATAGAACAAGTAGTCAAGAGTTTAAACTGGGATGGTGACTTTGCCTGCTAAAAATTGTAAAAATATTGAACAGAAAGTCAGGGAGTGCTCATTAATCATTAAACAATCTTTAGCCTCGAATATCATGTGTGTACGTTCATTATTGAGACACGTTCCGCGTTTGATCGAGAAAAAAGTCACGACACATTGTAAGCACCTGTCGTATCACTTCTTTGAAACGTTTCCGTTTCTAAAAGTGATCATTAATTAAATTAACTACTTATCTCGCTTTGCATCATCTCCATGCTACCAAGTAAGTAGTCACCGAAAATGTTGAAAATCATCAACATCGGGAAATTTTAATGATGGTTAACCACTTTCTTAGAACTAAACTTACAGGAAATGTAAGTGAAACAGTAATGTGAATTTGCATTATGAACTGTGAATTGAAAGTAGTCTAATATATACGAACACTGCTATTAGTGCTTACGGTTTAAATTGTTTATATCCGTTTTGGAGGGAAAGCTCTGTACTTTTGCCTCGGGTCGTATAGTATGACGCCATTGGATTACTTATTTTACAAACATCCTTGATAACCTACATATTTCTATGGCAACGCCATAAAAATACCCCCCAACGTGTCACTTTGTAACTGAAATGGTTCTATTTTTAACAAGTAAAAACTGTAGGGTCACAAGATGAATAAAGATTTCTGGAATACGTCATCATGTAAACAAGGTTTAATCTTCACAAACTGTTTTTTTTTTTTTTTTTTTTGTGGCGCAACTTCGTCAAATGTTCTTTGAAAAGAAGAACGCATGACTTTGTACAATTCGTGGTTACTATTACTGGCAATCGTAACATCACTAACCTTTATGCCTCCGTAAACAAGCAAAAATGTTTTTGGAAATTTTACATCTTTCTAGAATGTTTTTTCTCTACACGGAAAGCGTTTCTGTGCTACTTCTTTCTTCTTGGAAGCAATATTTGTTTCCGCCACAAATGTTTCGCGTGGGCGCCCACATAAAGGGAAATAATATTTCTCAAGCAAAGTTTTCTCTTTTGGACGGCCTTAATTTTACCTCGAGCGATTATAATAAGTCTTACAAAAAGAGCTAAGTTTAGGGTCTTAAGGGGAATCGAAACTCAAAATATAAAAGAATAGTGGCTACTTGCCTATCAGGTCTCTATGCAGCTCATCAGACATGTTTAGTTATGGAGTAAAATGTCAGGGCAGTTGCTAGTGGGCAGAACAAGGTATGAAACTGCTGGACTGCGCGATAGCCCTGAGTTTGTGCCGAATTACAACTAAACGACTGACATTTCAGTATGATATGGCAAAGTGAACAAAAGGTGTATGGCAAAAAACTGACGGGTTTTAACTCAACATTGCCCTTTTCAGCCGTTATGATGGTGTTGAATTGTAGATAAACTGAGAAGTTTTTACTGGCCAGCAGCACTTCTAATCCTATAGATAAAGAAAAGACTAAGTGTTTGATCTGCAATACGACAAACATCTTTACCTTATTCGCCGTTTCTTTTCTCGACTCCATTTTCTTAAGCACCATTTTGGAAAGTGACGAAGCTTACATTGTACATTCAGGGTTGCCTCCAGTTCAATGGATGAAGCGCCTCGCGATTACATCACAGATACCGTAAGCCCTATATTACATTAAAGGTTATGGATCTGAAGTCTATTAAAAAAGTTTCTTAAATTTTACGCGAGATGAATGATAGAATTTTCCGCAAGTCTAAACTGGAAGGTATAAATCACATTTCTTAGGTTCCAAATGGAAACAATTTTTATTTATTTTGGGAACACAGAAATGACTATATTTGGATTACTTGTAAGGTGTCAGTGTATGTCAATCCCTATAGGAGAAAAACTAATAAGTGAAATTCGTCGCTCTTGCTCTTGCCAGTTAAAGATGATTTCCAGTCCATATTCCGCACTCTCGAGAGTTTGTTTGCGTTTTTTGTTTTGTTTCATGTAAGACATCGCAAAATGTAAGCATTTCTCAAACACTTACTTGAAGCAAATTCAAAGTTTCAAAACAACCGCCATTATGGAGGCGAAGCGGTCGAAGCTTTATGCTTCGTTCTTTCTCATATCACATGATGAAACAGCTTCGCAGTTGTAAAAATCAATGAAGCTGTTGGAAAAAGAATTTGAAAGGCCTTATAGATAAGGTATGTGGTTCGTAACGGATGTTACTAAAACGGAGAATGGGGAATGGGGAATGGAGAATGGGGAATGGGGAATGGGGATTGGGGAATGGGGATTGGGGAACGGGGGATGTGGAATGGGAAATGGGAAATTAAAAATGGGAAATAGATTTTTTTTTCATTAACTTTTTATAACATGGAATAAATTTTTTCAGCGGCTATTATCGATATTCACATTTTATTTTTTGCAACGTTCTGCGCCAGAATAAAATTATATGATAATGGAGAAGTCACCCTGTCTTGTTTCTTTATTATTACCGGCTGGTCGGTCCGTTTAGTGAAAAACTGTGACCGAGGTCTTGAAAATGCTGCCCTCGCCCTGCGGCCTCGGGTAGCATTTTCAAGCCTGAGGTCACAGTTTTTCACTATACGGACCGACCCTGAGCCTTTTCTTCCTGAAGCCGAAAGATTTATTGCGAAGTCGTTTCTGTCATTTTGCGTTACAATTACATGTGTAATGTGTTCCGTATAAACGCATTAAGTTAAATGCGAATTGTTTCCATACAGTTAATAGCCTGTGAATATTAGTAATTGGTGAAAGTTTCAGCTCTTTGGGTCTAATATTGAAGGAAATATGGCCTTTCGGAAATTACAAAATTTATCGGAAGAAAAAGCGTTTATGAGCTTATACATTCATAGGTCAATTAATCGTGTCTTTCCCTTTCAATACACTCTTGTTTTAGAAGGATGTATTTGAAAAGAATACTGACCGACGCTGAAATTTACGACATTTTAAAAATATTTCAAGAACAAACCCGAGGCTGAGATTTTGAAAAGAATATAACTTTCTGTGTTGAAAATTTTAAATACAATACAATAATATGTTTTTAACCAAACAGTATACATAAAATTCACTTTCTCTAAACGGCAAAACTAGCCAAAGAAAACAACGAAAACAGCACCAGCCGTATTTTCGTCGCTCATAACACTGATTTCTGCAAGATGTTATTTGCGTCACATCAGGCTTTAACGCCTGCAGGCTGGCTGCAAAATTACTTCAACACCATCCAGACACCAAATACACTTGAAAACAGAAATGTCATAAGTTTCAATCTAAGAATATTGACAAGAACATTTTCAGCCCAAAATCGGCAGAAAAAATATGAATATATTCAGCCTCGGCTGTAAAAACAATATTCTCATGAAAAGAGAGTGTATTCAGATTTGGTACTTTTGAGGCACTTGTGTTTATGAAGTAAATATTGTTAACCAAAATTGCAGTATAAAAAAAGTGAAAAGTGCGAGTGGATTAAAATATGGACAAAGTTTAAACATTAGGTAACAGTAGCTGTTTACTATTTAGAACGAAATTTCGGAAATTTTTGCGACCAATTTCCGAGCGGAGGAACAAAGAAACGAGCCACTTTGGTTGAGGTGTGAGGCTGCGAAAGTCGGAAAGTTTGGAACTGCTGTGAACGATACAAAGTTTAAATTGAATATAATTTTGTCTTAGTAACGGCCAAACTGGTAAACGGCAAGACCCTTTCAGAAGTTGCTTTTCTCCGGAAATTTTTCCGTGGCCTGTACTTGGGGGAAAAATCATGTTTCATTTACATATCAAAACCGGAATTTCTTGAAAATGTTGTAAATGGTTGTTTCCTTAATTTAATTTCACCGCTCCACCTGTACATGTAGAAAACTGGACTAGGGTGTGAATAAGCGGGTTATAAACTCAACATTTGGCTCGAATGGTTTATCTGCAGATACATTTTACAGTACATCGGCGAGTTGGCAAAAGTTAATCAGCAAACAAACATTTATATACCTATGCTATGCGAAAAAAAAAGTGTCTTCTATAACCCCTCTGAACCTGTGATAAAGTGCTTTAAAGCTCTGCTTTATGTTAATTCTGGCTATTGTTTTGGCACCAAAAGCACAGAATCTTACTCAAAATAGTTTTGTACTCTCGCCTGAACTTCTTATTTGTTCCTCCATATATAAAGGGGTTAATGGTGCTACTAAGGTAAATCAAGAACCCGTATGTAAGGTAAGC